GCGGCATCTTCGGCCGTCTTGGCGCTCTCTTGTGTCGTATTCGGGCCGTCGCGAGGAACTGTTGGGCTGCCTTGGTGCTGTCTTGGGGACCTCTTCGGGAGTCTTGAAGCCTCAGAAAGACAATCAACCATGAATGAGGCCAAGAGAGGAAGGCGTAAAGGAGAGATGAGAAGGTGGGAGGAGGGAAAATGGAAATGGGTGAGAAGGATGTGGAACGGGAGCTGGAGGAGAGCCAAGAACAATAGAAAGATCAACAAGAAAGGACAACGATGGATGAGGAAAACGGAAGTGCACTCGCGGGCAAATTGGGTCAACCTTGAAAACATGGGTTGAAGGAATTCCCTTTGTTTTCAAGCTGGGCCTCCAGGGAGGAGGGAACATAACGCAGCGGGGAGGAGGCAGGAGAGGAAGGAGATAGATGTGGAACGGGAGACGGAGAGGAACCAACAGCAGGAGAGAGAGAGAGAGAGAGAGAAAGAGAGAGCAACGCGAGCTGACAACGAGGTCGATCTTGAACAAAACGGATTTGAGGGCGCTGTCGTTTTTCAAGTTGGGCCTGGTGGCCCCCAAGGGCACCCAAGATCGTCCCAAGAGGCCTCCAAGAGGCCCCGACACGAGCTCTGGGGAAGCCCTCGAGAGACCAAAACATTGAAACACCAGGCGTGAAGGAGAAACGAAGAGAAAGGAAGAGGGAAAAGGACGCAACGGGGATGAAGAATGGAGGAGAGGAAGGGGAAGGACATGGAACGGCCGGGAGACACAGGGAACCAAGGGCAAAGGAGAGATCAAGGATAACGAACAGAGAGGGGTGGGGGAGATAGAAACGCACGATGGGGGCGGAGAGATGAAAGTGTGAAGGAGAGACGAGGAAGAGTGAGGAGGGCAATCAGGCAGCAGCGGGGAGGATGGAGGAGGAGAGAAAAGAGAAGGATGTGGAACGGGAGACGGGGGAGAACCAATATCAAGAAAGAGAGATCGAAGCGAACGGACAGCGAGGGATGGGGAGCCTCGGCGACGTCGTATATGAGGGTCTCTTGGGATGTCCTCTTGGGGGTTTCTGGGGGGCTCGTGGGGTCTCTTCAGGGCCTCATGGGGACTTTGGGGCGCCTATTGGCTGACGCTTGGGGCCTCTTTGGGAGAGCCTTGAATGCTTCTGGGGCGCTCAGGGGGCCATCTTGGTTGGATTCGTCCCCCGGTAATTTGTTTCTGCAGGGTCTCCTGGAACCCCCAGAGTGCTCTCTTCGGGCGCTTCTGGGACCTATTCCATGATGGGGGCACCTTGAGCTCGAAGGCGGCCCAAGATCGCGTCAGGATGGCCGTTCATCGCCTCTTCTCTCTGGAAGCTTCGGGATCGCTATGAGTGCGTCGGGGCGTCTGGAGAGGGGGCTCTTCGGGGGCCTCCCAGGGGCCTCGTCTGGCATCCTGGGGGGGGGTCCTGGGGCCTCATGTGGGCGTTGTGGGGCCGAACGCTTGAAATATCCATTCGGGTATCCCCATCTGGGCCACCTCTCGGGGCCGCCCTGGGGTCTTCATGGGCTGTCTTGGGGGCCTTTTGGGCCTCTTGGGGCTGTCTTCGGGCGATCCTGGAGGCTTTGCGGGCCGTCTTGGATGCTCTGAAGGCTGAAGAGACGAATTGTCTAAAAACATTCATTTTATAACGAAAGTGGGGCAACGTTTGCCTCTGAGGGCCCTCTTAGGGGTTCTCTTGCGGGCCCCTTGGGGCGTCTTGGGGGCTTCCTTGGCCGTCTTGAGGCCATCTTGGGCGTCTTGAAGCGATATTTCCGCAACCTCGGGTCGCCTGGGGGCAATTTGGAAGCCTTCCGCACGTACCCGGGATTGCCAAAAAAACAGCCCAGTGAAGGGGCCAGAGGCCGGGTACTGAAATCACGGCTTGTCGGGCCCTCCGGAACTCCGTACTCATTTCTATATGAATATATACATTTAGACAGAGAGAGAGAGAGAGAGAGAGAAAAAAAAAAACATATATATATATATATATATATATGTGTATACACATATACATATACATATACACATATATGTATATATGTATGAGAGAACGCGAATCACGGGCGCTCGCCTTGGGAACATTCGGCGGCGCGTTTCGAACCTGGGGGTGGCCCCCCCCCCAACACTCGGCGCCGTCGATCAAAAACAATGGACCCCCTCCCCCCCAACCCCCCCCTCCCGAACCCCCCCCCCTCCCCTCCCAAGGGGGGGGGTTCAAACACCCCCCCCCCCTACGCGCTGGCGCAGCGACGATGACCAGAGGCACCCCAAGGGAGGGGGGGGTTCAAACCCCCCCCCCCCTTCGCGACGGCGCCGGCGGGCGCTGGCGGCCGCCACCAGCGCCGGCGCTGTCGCCAGCGACGGCGGGGACGCAGCGACGCTTACCACCATCAACACCATTACCACCACTACCACCACTACCGCCGCCTCAACCCACCACCACCATCACCACCACGACCCCCACCACCACAACCACCACCACAACTCACCATCACCACCACCACCACAAAAACCCACCACCACTACCACCAGCACAATGTACCTCAACACCACCACCACCGCCACAACAATCACCATTACCAGCAGCACAAACCACCACCACCACCACCACAAATCACCACACCTCCACCACCGCCACCGCCACAACCACCACAACAAACGTCCACAAATCACCGCCACCACCACAAACCATCACCACCACAACCACCACAAACCACCACCACACAACCACACAACCACCACCACCACCACCACAACTCACCATCACCAGTACCACCACAAGAGACCCACCACCACTACCACCACCACCACCAAAATCTACCACACCACCACCACAACCGCCACAACCACCACAACTACCAACAGCACAACCCACCAACACCACCACAACACACCACCACCACCACCGCCACCACCACCACCAGCACCACCTCCACAAATCACCGCCACAACCCCAACCCACCACCACCACCACCACCACCACCATAAACCACCACCACCAAACCACCAAACCACCACCACCACAACCCACAATTACCACCACCACCACCACCACAAACCACCACCACACCACCACCACCAAACACCACCACCACCACAAACCACCACCACAACCAACACCACCACAACAAGCCACCACACCACCACCACCACAACCACTGCCACCGCCACCACCACCACCACCACCACAACCTTCCACCACCACCACCACCGTCGTCCTCGTCGACGCTCCGCGCCACCGCAGCCCGCTGCCGCAGGCGCCGGCGCTGGCTTAGAAATGGAAATCGTCGTCCCCGCCACGGTCGCCAGCCGCCGCCGACGCAAGCGCCGGCCTGATCAGAGGGGAAGCAAGGAAATGAGGAGGGGGAGAGAGGGTTCGAACCCCCCCTTTCAAGGAAAGGGGGGGGGTCCGGTTCCACCCCCCACCCCTCCAAGCGACCACATAACGCGCTCTTGCATATGTATGCATATACCAATATAAATGTGAATATCTCTGTGTATATATATATATGTGTGTGTGTGTGTGTTTATATATACACGCATGTATCTCACACGAAGCCCTCGAAATTGAAATTCCCCTTTTTTCCCACCGAGAATGGATTATCCCTGGCCAAGAGAAGGTTGGATGGGGAAAAAAGGGCGGCGAGGCCGACCTTCATTATCGCCAGGGAAAATACGTATCGAAATTGCGATCCTCTTCTGTTGATAGGACGATAATATCTATATATATATATATGTGTATGTATATATATATATATATATTGACAAAATGTGCCGTTGATGCTCACAGCCTTCGCGCGGGATGCACTTTGCGTCGATTATTGTCTACTCTGCCTGGCGCCGCTGGTCTGTCACCCAGTCGCTATCAAGTAGTCGCCCGTAGGGGGCTATTTGGTGGCACTTACTGATCCCCCTTCTCGTTGCCGAGCGCGGGAGGGGACAGTGGCGCACAGCCCCGTCGCCCGCCGCCGCGCACTGCGCGCCTCCGCGGCTTCCCAAAGACCTGGTAAGGCAAACGACGCGCGACTCTGGGAAGCTCTCCGGGGGTGGATTTGGAAAGGTCCGCCCAGCGCATTCCACCCTTCAACACTGCTATTTTTTGGAAGGGAAATTTCTTGATTTTTTGGTTAAACAATCCGGAACCGCTTTTGCCAAACGAACGGAAGCGCTTTTCAAATCATTCTACGATCCGGAAGCAATTTCCAGAAGTTCCAACGGGCGCGGCTGGCTGACTCACGCACCGCGCCGCGTTCGATTGGGCGCAGCACGCGCCGCGCCCTGCGCCCGCGAACAGCACTCGACGGGGTTACCTCGAACATTGCGCTACGGCAGCTGCGACTCGCGGACTTCCCAAGAAACATGACGCAGCTTGGAATCTCCGAGGGCGTTCCGATGCGAAAACAAAATGCACCGCGCACATCACGCAAAGAACCTGCGCGACGGAATGCGCTCGACCATTCGTCCCTGGAGCCCGCGCGAAGACCAGGAAAACGTGGAACTCTTGAGAACTATCCATAGCAGTACTTCATGCTCCTCTGATGTTGAGTAGCAGCACTAGCACGAAGGTGTGGCAAGGCTCTCGGACTCTCACCACTTCAACTTTCCTAACTTACGAATGTACGTCACGGAATTGGGATTCTCACCATTTCAGCTTTCCTGAGCCACGAACGTGCGGCAGGCCCCTCCAAGGAGGTCCCGCCTGAGCGAGCAGGGCATCGCTACTCAATACTTTTCCTCAAGTGTTGTGCTCCTCCTTTCCTATCCAAGGAGGCCCCGCCAGAGCGAGCAAGGTCTCGCTATACCATACTAACAAAACATCGTACATACGATTTGCCGGGACGCATCAATACAATTCCCCCCCGAGCCCCGAACTTGATTGTCCCCACTCTGTGGCTATCAGGGGCATGGGGCCACGTATATCCAACGCCTGCCAAGGTTTCCGAAGATGTATCCCCCAGCTGGTGGCTATGAATGAATCCCCGCCACGGATCCTTCCAGAAATCTTGGCATGCCGCGATCTTGTCCGCCGACTGGGGGCCACACTGCATGTTCATGCCAATTGCGGTCGCGTGGGGGTCCAGGCAGGTGTGCCGATCAAGCTCGACGGCAACTGATCCTGCGGCTGGTTTGTTGCCCTTCCGAGACCACATCGAAACCAAATAGAAGTAACCGTGCGATAACGCCGAGCGAAAGCAAATCGCGATGCAACAGGTCCCACAAATCCGCCGGCCCCCTTGTGGGGCCACAAGGCTGTAGGGCAAAGGTTAGCTGCTCCCTGCATCAGTTGCAGGTTCCAGTTTCCAATGTGATAGTTCTGTTTCTTGTTGCATTACTGCTCCTTTTTTGTAGACCGCGCGAAGGGGGGAGCCGAAAATCAGCCTGGTTAGCGTCTCCTGGGACGGGTCTCAGAATTGCTGGGGGGGGAACTGACACCCCTCACGCAGATCGGCGGGGTCAGGGTCCAAAAACGCAAGGGATTTGCTACATTTCGGAAATTCGGCGGCACCCCTCATGCAGATCGGCGGAGTCAGGGTCGAAAAACCAACGAGATTTGCCACATGTTTGAAATTCGGCGCGCACTTCACGCAGATCGGCGGAGTCAGGGTCGAAAAACAAATGGGATTGGCCAACTATCGGAAATTCGGCATTACCCCTCACACAGATCGGCGTGGTCAGGGTCGGAAAACCATTGGGATTTGCCACATCTCTGAAATTCGGCGGTACCCCTCACGCAGATCGGCGGCGTCAGGGTCGAAAAACCAGTGGGATTTTTCACATGTCTGACATTCGACAGTACCCCTCACGGAGATCGGCGGGGTCAGGGTCGAAAAATACATGGGATTTGTTATATTCCAACACTTCGTAGAATAGATGTTTACACAGCATACGTGAGCAAGCTCGAAATACAACACCGAGTTCAACAATATCATCAGAATCTCAATTTGTTTTGCCGATTACTCATCGTCTTCGCGTGAAGTCCCGACGCTGCTTCACGGCGGCGCCAAGGCCTCATGATTTCGCTCTTGTATTGCCCATTATCCAACAGAGGGAGCCGGCGGCAGGGGGCGAAGCCCTTACGGATTACAACAACGATCGAGAAGGCATGACTGGCGGACACGGCGCCGGTATGCTGGTGGCCAGAGGAGCTGATCCATATACTCGTACTGCTGGTCGAAGTCACAGACCCAGTGCTGGTGGCAGTAATGCTGACATATGTGGTCGTGCCGCTGGTACTGCTGGTCTGCGTAGAACTTGTTCCGGTGGTGGTCGATTCGCTAGTAGAGATCGTTGTGCTCGAACTTGCACTGGTAGACGTTTCCGTGGTGCTCGTCTGGCTGGTGGAGCTCGTTGTGCTGACCGATGTGGTGCTGGTGACACTTGCACTTGTCAGCGTCAAGGTGCTGGTAGAACTGGCACTTGTAGACGTGGCGGTGGTGCTCGTCTGGCTGCTAGAGCTCGTTGTGCTGACCGATGTGGTACTGGTGTCGCTTGCACTTGTCAGCGTCAGGGTGCTGGTTGAACTGGCACTGGTAGACGTTGCAGTGGCGCTGGTCTGGCTGGTGGAGCTCGTGTGCGTTATCGTTGAACTACTCGTGATGCTCGCACTTGTCAGCGTCAGGGTGCTGGTTGAAGTGGCACTTGTAGACGTGGCGGTGGTGCTCGTCTGGCTGGTGGAGCTCGTTGTGCTGACCGATGTGGTACTGGTGTCGCTTGCACTTGTTAGCGTGAGGGTGCTGGTTGAACTGGCACTTGTAGACGTGGCAGTGGCGCTGGTCTGGCTGGTGGAGCTCGTGTGCGTTATCGTTGAACTACTCGTAATGCTCGCACTTGTCATCGTGAGGGTGCTGGTTGAAGTGGCACTTGTAGACGTGGTGGTAGTGCTCGTCTGGCTGCTAGTGCTCGTTGTGCTGACCGATGTGGTACTGGTTTCGCTTGCACTTGTTAACGTGAGGGTGCTGGTAGAACTGGCACTTGTAGACGTGGCGGTAGCGCTTGTCTGGCTGGAGGAGCTCGTGTGCGTTATTGTTGAACTGCTAGTGATGCTCGCACTTGTTGACGTCAGGGTGCTGGTTGAACTGGCACTGGTAGACGTTGCAGTGGCGCTGGTCTGGCTGGTGGAGCTCGTGTACGTAGACGTCGCGGTGTCGCTCGTCTGGCTGGTAGAGCTCGTGTGCGTTATCGTTGAACTACTCGTAATGCTCGCACTTGTCAGCGTCAGGGTGCTGGTTGAAGTGGCACTTGTAGACGTGGCGGTGGTGCTCGTCTGGCTTGTGGAGCTCGTGTGCGTCATCGTTGAACTGCTGGTGATGCTTGCACTTGTCAGCGTGAGGGTGCTGGTCAAACTGACACTGGTAGACGTTGCGGTTCTGCTCGTCTGGCTTGTGGAGCTCGTGTACGTAGACGTCGCGGTGTCGCTCGTCTGGCTGGTAGAGCTCGTACCCGATATTGTTGTGCTGCTAGAGATAGTCCCACTCGTCCAGGTCGTGGTGCTGGTCACGCTGAGGCTGGACTTTGTGGTGCTGATGCTTGTCGAGCTGGCGGAGCTAGTAACAGTTACTGTTGTCTTGCTTGTCCCAGACGTGGAAGACAAGGTAGAGCTTGACGTAGAAGAGGTGGTTCCGGAAGTGGTGGTGACACTGCTTGTTGTTGTGATGGTCGACGTAGTCGACGAAGCGGATGTTGTGGTAAATGACCTGATGGCGGGGATCCAGGACTATTCATGTCCACAGCCGCGAAATACAAGGCATTTTGGAATGTCACAGGGCATGACGGTGACGAAAGAAGATGTGAAATATTGTCGACGTGCCCTCCCCAAAAAAGACCCTAACACGAACAACTTGTGGGGATTCACCCGGTGGCAGCATCATAAAGTCACTGGGTTCCCGAGACGTATGTCAGACCCGACTCCGAAATCACAGAATTCCGCAAACAGTGCGTGTATCTAGGGTTTCTTACTTCTGTTCTGAAGAGCTGCGCCTGGCGGTCGGCCTGGCGGCCATGTTGACACCGTGGCCGCCCAATCGCCGCCCCGTCGATGTCCGTCGTTCGGGGCTGACTGTTGGTCTGGCAGCAACGTTGCTGCCGTAGCCGCCCGTCGCCTGGGCTTGACGGTCGGTCAAGCCGCTATGTTGCCGCCGTCGCTACGCCGTCGCCGCCTCGTCGCCAGACGTCGTTTGGGCCCGACGGTCGGTCTGGCGGTTACGTGGCTGCCTCCGCCGCCTCGTCGCCACAAGTCACCTGAAACATAGGTTCTCCTGTCCAGAAGAATATTCAGATCTACCCCCGCAGACTTATCCCAGAAGAAACCCGGAAGGATTCAAAAAACCTTGAGCGGAACCCAAACAGCCCGCCAGAAGCATCAAAACTGCCTTCAGGATCCCCCCGAGATGTCTCGTTCAAGGGGCCTCACACCCACAACCCAGGCACGGTGGCGGGGTGGGCCGAAGCTCCATCATCACAGCGCCGGCCAATGCTGTCGTCATCGTCATCGCCACCATCGCCACCAATCACCGCTACTGTCATCATGGCATCGCCCATTGTCGGCTACGCCATGGTAGCGAACCCGCAGGCGTCGCCGACTCGCACCGAAGTGCCCGCGCGTCAGCGAGGCCTGCGAGACGCGCGAGCCGGCCGCTCTGCACGCCAGGTTGGGTGGCCGCTGTGCGCGCGAGCCCGCGCGCGCCCGCGCGGCGCAGCGGTGCGACAACCAAGGCCAAGCAGTCATCGAAATCGCCGCCGCACGTGTTCTGAGAAACGAAGTTGCGGGCGGGTTGGCGGGGTGGTTGCGCGAGCACTGGAACTGACAAGTTCCAGTTCGCTTGGGGGAAACTGACCACATCGATTGCACCACATAGATTGGTCATAACAATTTGCATCATATACGTTTCGCCTGAAAGATGGCTCATCATAGGTGTACATATATATAGATATGTATGTGTGTATACACTACATCGGCTACACAACCTGCTTCATAAAAGTTGCACCACTTAGATTGTCCAGATAGATAACACACCATACATTGCTAGACATATTGTGGGGTCCAAAGCCCGGATGGCAAGGCGCCCGACGGGCTTGGAAAGGCCTGTCGAAGAACTCGGGAAGGATCTGGAGAGAGCTGCCCAAGGTCCTTCTGGAGAGCTTCGGGCCACGCGTAAAACGCTTAGAAAAGGCCTCTCGGGACACGCTGCGAACTCAAGCAAGTCACGCCGAGGCTTCTGGACCGCCGCCGAAACAATCTCCACAACTACCCTGCGGCCCTGGCTTCTTTATCGGAAACCCTCTTTGCTCTCTGCGAGCTATCCGGGAACGTGTGTGGGGCCCCCCACGGTCCTTCTTTCTTTAAAAAACAACGGTTGGCCATTACGAACCGCAAGCAGACGTTTTTGTTGCAGATTGGAGGTGGAGCGCTGCGGTGTGCGCTACGAGGTCGTCAAAGCTACGCCGTGTGAGCTATGGAGGTGGGAACTACGCAGCGTAATATATGCGGTGCGAACTATGCCATGTGATGTGTGCGGTGCCATCTGTGTGGTGCGACGCGTGGTCTGATATATGCGAAGGAAGCTATGCCGTACAAGCAGAGTGGTGCAAGCTACGCGGCGTAAGCTCAGCTCACGGAGCGCCCACGAGCGCCCGCAAAGCGGCAGTGTGGCGAGACCTCGGCGGACACATCCAGCGCACAGGGCGCCAACGAGCGCCAACGAGCAGCGGCACGGACTGCAACGCGGCGCAATTTCGGCGGACCCGTCGAGCGCACGGGGCGCTCTCGAGACGGCAACGCACGTCAACGCCATCCCCGGGATCGTTCCGACCTTAGCCCAAGAGGAGGCATATGCTGGCTGCTTTTCAGAACAGGCTCTCGTCACAGAAAGGGATCACGCGAAATGTTTACATGTGTGCTTGTGGCGGACTCCATCAACAGCAAGTCAGCAATGCGGATGCCTAACTTTCACGTTCGCCCCTTGCTGCCAACATCCTTCGAGCGGACCCGTCGCAATTTCTGATTCCGCCAGTGTCCGCTGGCTTCCTCCGAAAGCGGGGAACGCCAAATGCGAGGCCCTGGCTGGCGCGCCCCGTGTGGAGACCCCAGAGAGACAGACAGACACGCAGCGGAAGGCCGATAGCCCTCAAGACTTGTAGCGCGCGCCTCCGATCCACGGCACTTAAGCACAACCTCGGTGGCGCTGTGCCGTCACGCGTGAGGGGGCAAACATGTCTTGAAAGTGATTCACGGAAGCTCTTTGGTGCTATCTGGCGCTACTGAGTCCTATAGCGCGCAACGCGAACATAGCGCATCTCCCAGGCATGACGCTATTGGTCGCTATTGGGCCCTACTTCAAAAATTAGTGGGTGATATCTAGTGGTATGCAACGCTCCTCGCCGGAATATACTAAATCCAAGATGATCGGAAGATTATGTGATGCCAAGCATCTGCCATATGGATGGGGGGTTTGGAGGGGGGTTCAAAGCTATTGGTAGTGCAGGGGGCTGGGGCTTGGCTTGCCGGGGGCTCGACCCGGTCAGGGTTACGCAGAGAGATCGTTGCGACGGCGGCAGGTTCCCGCCGGAGACATGCTGCCCGTGAGCCCCCAGCAGCCGGGCCTGCGGGGACGAGGGCCCCGTCAGGACCCTGCCCCATCCCAGGGCCGACCTTGTGGTGGCCGTACTGGTCCCAGTTGTGGTCGACGGGGTCGAGGTTGATGCAGTAGTGCTGGTGTCGGAAGTGGCGGTGCTACTGCTTGTGGCTGTGTTGCTCGACGTTGTTGTGGTTTCTGACCTCATGGGGGGGCATATATGCAAATCCCGTGTTCCCCCACGGTCAGGCCTGTTGGGACGAGGACTTCTTTGTGTATGTGCCCAACCCCAGAGCCGACCTTGTGGTGGCTGTGCTGGTAGACGTCGCGCTCGAGGTGACGCTTGTCTCCGTGCCAGTACTTTCCGTAGTCGTATCCGTCGCGCTGGTCGGCGTCGTCAACGTCAAAGAGACCGTGCTACTCAAGGTCGTAGTCGCGCAACTGGCACAACACTGCGATATGTACGATGATCCTAGGAACACACACATCAAACGAACATCGCCATAATCTTTCGGAGGTCCGCGCGGAATTGTTGGGCAAACGCTGCACTCCCCTGGCGGCGGCTCCGGCGCATGCCCTCGCGCGCAGACCTCCGAACGTTTATGACACTGGCGTGGCGATTCTCTTCGAGATCCAGCGTCGCAGGCGATGACGGAACACCACCACGGCTCTATGCACTCGCCTGGGCCCATGGAGTCCACGTCTGCAGTCGCCGTAACCGTGGTGGTCCTTCCCCACCCTGCCCTCACTCTTCCCCCCACTCGCCTCCCTCCTCTCTGCCGTCACTGTGGTGACAGAAATTACCGATACTGCTAAATATAATCATCGTGCGACCATGAGGAAGGCTGAATGGGAAACGAAAGGGGCTTCCAGGACCTTGCGAGCCTGGGCCACGAACAGGTACACTTAAAGAAACGGCCCGAACATCATGTCCCCTCCTGAGCCTGAGATGAGCGCGAAAAAGACGCGGGTCTTACGCCGCGGCTTACGCGGGCAGCCAGCGCGGCACACCGCGTGGAGAGGAGAGCGCTTGCGAATGACCTTACGCGGGCAGCTTACGCGCGAATGTCGGCACAGCCAGACCCGCTTCTCTGCGTGGCTCGAAGGGTCCTCAACTCGGAAACTCGACTGTACTCCCCGGACCTCTCCTGGATCAAAATTCAATCGAGGCGACTTCGGCCCGCCAGAAAAACGAGGAGAACTGTGAAACGGATGGGGGGAATCGGTATCGCACGCTCTCCTCCTCCTCTGGCTAACGCCCCCCCTTCTCCCCAGAACTCCGACGTCATATTGTTTCGCAGCGTCTGTATTATTTTTCGCAACGGCGACCACTGGAGGTCTCCGCTCTTTTCCTCGGGACCGGCTTTCCGTCAGGGACGTTGTTTGATCGCCCCAGCGCCCAGTAAAGGCCGAGAACGGCGACAAGCCTCCCGTCGTTGAAGGCAAGGTCTAGAAGGTCAATGTAATGTAGGCGAGCTCTCCGAACGCTCACAAGGGATACGTATGGACACGCGAACCACGAACGTTCACAAGCATATTCGTGACTATCCTCCTCACTCCCCCCTATGAGGACGACAGCGAAGACGACGACCCGGGGAGGAGGGGGAGGAGTAGGAGGAGGAGGAGGAAGAGGAGGAGCAGCAGCAGCAGGAGAAGAGGGTGAGAAGGGGAGGGGGAGACGGATGAGGAAGAGGAGGAACAGGAGCAGGAGGAGGGGGAGGACGAGGACGACGAGGAGGAAGGAGAACGCGACATAAGGGAAAGAGGAAGAAGGAGGAAGATGAGGAGGAGGAGGAGGAGGAGGAGGTTGAGGAGGCCAGATGGTTTCGAGGGCCAGTTCGAAAGCATGTTTGAGGGGATGTCTCAGGCGAAACGCGGACTATTGAACGAACGTGTTGAACATCCATGGGCTTTTCAACAATTTTGCTTCAGGGGCAATCTTGGAGGTCATCCGATAGCGCTCCGAAAAGATGCCTTGACATTCTGTTGGCGCATCCCATGATTTCGAGGATGTCTCAAGCGAAACGGCCAGTTTTGAAGGTTCGAAGATTGGGTCAACGATTTCCGCATCCCGAATGTCTGAGGATGAATGGGGCGAAACGCTAATGCTTAGCATAAGACGTCTCAAGATACAACCCCCAATATCGCGATTTGGCGAGGATGTCTCAGGCGAAACCTTCGAACTGGCTCTCGAAACCATCTGCTCTCAGCCGAAGCGCTCATGTTTAGCATAAGGCGTCTTAAGATACCACCCCCAAGATCAATCTTTGGCGAGGATGTCCCTGGCGAAACGCCCTGTTGTGGGAATATGTCCTGCCATGAACGGGAAGCGCGTGAAAGGGAAACGTTGCGCAAGAACTTACAGCATCATCGCGGTCAAATGTACTAGAGGCAAGCTCTCCGAACGCTGATAAGGGATACGTATGGGCACGCGCCCCCCGAACGTTCATAAGCATATTCCTGATTATGCTCCTCACTCCTCCGCGATGCTGCGAAACCCTCCGACCCCATCTACTCAGACCCCATCTAGGAGGCCTAGAAAAATCGGGGGCGGCCAAGAGGAGGGGGCGTCCAAAAGGGGAGGAGGCGCAAATCATTGCCCGCGGCATGTGCGCGGCCCAAGGGGGGACCGGGGACGCATTAGAATAAGAGGAGGCGCCACCCCCCTCCCCCCGGTCCTCATCCCCCTCTTTGACGCCCCCGAAAACAGGGGGGTCCTCTTCGCGGCCCTCGATGTGGGCACCCTCTTTGGGCCCCCTGCGCCAGGGCGAACGCCCCGCGCGGCCTTCGGGCCGCAGCGGAGGCCAGACCGGGCGGCTGGGCCGCCGCCTGGTGGCGCCCCGCCCGCACAGAGCGGAGGCAGCCCCCGGGGCGTCCAGCGATTTGGAGAAAGCAGGGAGACAGGGAGCAGGAGCAGGAGGAAGGGGAGGACGAGGACGAGAAGGAGGAGGAGGAAGGGGAGGGGGACGAGGAGGACGACGACGAGGAGGGGAGGAGGGGGAGGAGGAGGAGGAGGAGGAGATGGAGGAAGAACAGGAGGAGGAGGAGGAGAAGAAGAAAAGGAGGAGATGGAGGAAGAGGACAACCAGTAGGATCACACACAGCGGAGGTTGCTCAGAGGCAGGGCTTGACCAGACCAGTGTATGCGTTGTCGTTGTGTCGTCGTTTTCCTTGGATGTGCCTCCAATCCGCCTTTGCTGCAAAACGAAACCGAACACACAAACGGCCTACCAAATGGTCGAAACACTGTTCGGGTCGACCCCCTGAAAAGAGGATACTGGCTTGATACATAGATGCCAAGGTGGATTATGCCTGGTATAAGCTGGCTTCTCAATGGGTGGCGCATGCCCCAAGTGGCTTAGAGGGGTTGGCAACTCTGCATTGCAGCTCTCTTATGAACTAGCTTAGGCCAAATACAACCCACCGTGGCGTCCACTAGTAGTACCCCAATGTTCCTCTTAGCACCCCCCGTGGTGATCCAAGCAGAGACGCTGAAAGCCCTTGAACATCGACCATCGGACCTCGTCCTCCGTCCCCCCCGCGGCCGGAGGTCTGCCTGGATGTTTTGGGTCGGCGCCGGATCCCCCTTCCTGTCAAAGCGCACAAGTGTCGCTCCGCGCTTAATCTCCAAAGGTTGGTGTTAATGTCTTTTCTCCATTCGTCAAACACTCCGAATCCTGGTATGAAAACCGCTGTCGGTGGGTGACACGCCGCCTGGGAGAGGTCATCAGACTGTTACTGCTGGAGATCACCAAACCAGCAGACAGAAAGAGAGAATAACTCCTTGAGGGGCTCCAAATGGCAACGCGTCATTGATACTCCCTAGATCCTAGATTGCGGATGTTGCGACTGCGCTCGCACAATGGACCCCCGGATGTCTTCGCCCTTTCCTAAGACCAGCGTTTCATCCCAGGCCGTCTTTGACTGTCCCGGGCCCGGCGAGATCCCTCATGGGAACAAAATAACAGAAAACCTTCCGTCGTGAGCTTTCACCGCGCGAAAAGGTCTGAGTCTCTTCTGTTACTCTCGAGCAGCGTGTCATTGATGCTGTAGTTTCCTCCCGAGAGTCCAGCTGGAGGTGGTGGTGGAGGTGGCGGTCTGCGCACACAGGCACGGGCAGGCGTCCAGCGAGCCTTCCGACGCGCAGTCGACGAACCTGGCGCATGCGACGCGCGCAAATCCCCCGTGCCCATGCTCTTTCCCTTCTGTCTCGTTCTTCTTCTCCGCCTGTTCTCCTTTATTATCCTAACTCCTCTGTCCGCCTCCTCCTTCTATTTTTGCTTCTCCGTAGAATACTCTGCGAAGACGGATGTGGTTCATTCCAGGATCGCAGGCTGCTGCGCACCCCGCATCACACGAATTTGGCAATAACTGTTTTTGGATGGGCTGGGTGGGCTATTTGTTTTGGCACGCGGGCTCGCGACGCAAGTCGAAAGCCGCGCAGGACGGGCGGGCTACGCGCCGACGGAAGGAAAAAACAGCGAGCAGGAACGGCCCCATCAGAAGCCCCGCTGGGCTCATCGCGGCCAAGATGACGCGGAACAGGGACAAGGTGACGACTCCCCCAAGACAGAACGTCGGCACACCCACAACGAAGAGAAGAGTCCCAGCAGCAAGGCGGCGAACCCTCCCTGCAGGCACCGACACAAAACATCCCCAAAGCGCTTTTGCAGAACGGGATGCCCTGGAAGCCCAAGCTGCAACCGTGCAGCCAGCAAGGCGCCGGTGGAATGCATCAGAATGAACGGACAAGACGTGGAACATCCAAACGCGTCCCGTATGCTTCGAGCCTGCACGGCGGTCCAGTGCGAAAGCCCCTGCCCAAGGTGACGATAACTGTGCCGTATAAGGTCGTTAAAGAGGCAGAAGCGACAGCCAGCGCACAGGACGTAGCTAAGGGTCCTTGTAGGCGGGCGGTCGGACGGCGACCGCACGCTGAAGAGGACAGTCACGAGCACCGCGACCAGCCATCAGGGCCCCCCACGCGCCGAGGCCCCGAGGCAGCTGCAGTGGCCGGCGCGGCGACGCCGTGAAAAACAAGGCGCCCCCAGGCGACCAGCGAACGCGCGGCGACAGGAAGACGAGCGCAGCGCCTCCGCAGCGGGCAACCCGCGCGGGGGCGCGGAGGACGGCCGGCAGCCCAGCAGCCAGCACCCCGCAATGACGTGCCCGTGCCGAGGTCCAGAGCAAAGACCGAAGTCGAACCCAGATTCTCACCAGGGAAACCTTGCCGAACAGCGCCTTCAGCGAGCGGGGGGGGGGGAATCCCCGCTAACCAGCAGCGCGCCCTTGCCGAACACCATCGCCATGAATCCTTGCGGCCGTCAGAACGACGAGGAGCAAGGGAAAGCGCCGCCGCCAATCAACTGCGTAGGCTGCAGCGCACCAGCCATCCGCAACCCAGACCTGGCAGCAGCTGCAGCAGTTGATACGTCGCCGCCAGCCAGAAGGGCAACTCAGCGTGCGTCGCCGGGAGCAAAAGGCCCGCCGGCGGTCGCCGCCTACGCGCAGCGGGTGCCCTGAGTGGCAGCGAGGCGGGCGCCGGCAGCCCCAGCCGCCGGGAGCCCTGCAGTATCAGGCGCCAGCAGGCGTGCCAGCGCGAGGCAGGACCTCGAGAGGTGCCTGTCAGGCAGTAGCCCCAGGAAGTAGGCGAGAGGGGGAGGACGGCGACTGATCGTCGCAAACGCAGGATACGAGGAGCGATGACAGTAGGCGCGGCAGCTGATCGCTGCAAATGCGTGAGGGGAAGGAGCTGGCGGGGGCGAGCCCCAGGATCAGCTGACCGCTGCGAATACGTGGAACGTGGACTTGGCGAGCATGGGTAATCCCAGGACAAATGGCCAGGAGAAGAAGTGGAGCAGCTGAGCGTTGCAGATACATTGGCCGTTCCAGGTGATACTGGGTGGGACTCCGTCGTCGGTGATTGTGTCGTCAAAGAGCATGCGGAGGTATGCGTAGGCGAGCTCGTGTCCCCATGCATGCTCGCTCTGGTCTTCCGGTTCGGCGCCTTTCTGCTGCGCGAGGCCGACCCATGGTTCTTCAACAATTGGATCGAGGCGGCGGATGTGCATGGCCAGGTGGAAGGGATACATCGTCGTCACATCTGTGTGGTCGTCGCTTGCCGCTTGGATGAGGGCCTCGACCTGTCTGCACCCCAGATCCGGACAAGGAGGAGGGGCGAAAGAGGGCAGGATAATGTGCGTGAAGCGGATGGTGTCGCTGCCTTCTGGGCTGGATACGCGACGCGTCAATAACTTCAATCTACTGTTGTGGTCCCCGAGAAGACGAACGCTGGTGGAAAGAGCCACGAACCAAGCAACATAATGCCTCAACAAAATGTATCACCAGTCGCGGCTGCCAGGTGTGCCTGGCGGGGGATCCTACGGAAAGCGTGGCCAGCCAAATGCGGATGGACGGACGGTGCTTCAACGAATGCATTCTCATCTGCCCTTTTCTCAAAAAGAACATTAGCATGAATTGTCCCTCTCGTGTCCGTCAAGGACGGGCTCTCTTGTTGCTCGGGGTAATCTGCATGTCCGAGAGAACGCGCTTCACGGGCGCTTGCCCTGGGAACATTCGGCGGTGCGTTTCGAACCGGGGGGTGGGCCCCCCCCCAACACTCGGCGCCGTCGATCAAAACCAGGGGGACTCCCCTCCCCCCCCCAACCGCCCCTCCCCTCCCGAAACACCCCCCCCCCTCCCAAGAGCGGGAGGTTTCAACCCCCCCCCCCCTCGGCGCCGGCGCTGGCGCTGGCGGCGGCCAGAAGCGCCGACGGCGGGGATGCAGCGACGATGACCAGATGCAGCCCAAGGAAGGGGGGGGGGTTGAACCCTCCCCTTTAGCGCGCGGGGGAGGCACTACCGCCACCACCACATCTACCACCACCACCACCACCGCCTCAACTCACCACCACCACCTCGCCCACCACCACTACCACCACCAACCCACCACACAACCACCACCACCACCACCACAGCCACCACCACCACCACAACCACCACACACCACCTCATCGCACAATCACAACCACCACCACACCACCACCGCCACCACCACAACCACCACCACTACAAGCAGCACGACCCACAGCCACCACCACAAACCACCAAATCACCACCACCACCGCCACCACCACCACCACCACCACCTCCACGAACCACCGACATGACCACCACCACCACCACCACCACCACCACCACCACACCACATCACCAAAGCCAACACTACCACCAAAGCCAACACACACACCACCACCACCACCACAAGTCGCCATCACCACCACCACCACCACCACCACCACACAAACACACCACCACCACCACCACAATCTACCAGATCACCACCACCACCACCGCCACAACCACCACCACTACCAGCAGCACAACCCATCACCACCACCGCAAACCAGCACACCACCACCACCACTGCCACCACAACCACCACCAGCACCACCTCCACAAACCACCGCCACCACCACCAAACCACCACCAAACCACCACCACCACCACAACCACAAACCACCACAACACCACCACCAAACCACCACCACCACCACAACCCACCACCACCACCACCACAAACCACCACCACTGCCACCAGCAAACCAGCACCACCACCACCACCCACCACCTGAACCACCACCACCACCACCACCACAACAAACCACCACACCACCACCACCACCACAACCACCACCACAACCACCACCACAACCCACCACCACCACCACCACCACCACCACCACGGTCGTCCTCGTCGACGCTCCCCGCCGCCGCCGCCCGCCACCGCAGGCCTCCGAAGGCCCGGAAAAGAAAACCGTCCCCACCGCCGCCGCCAGCCGTTGCCGACGCAAGCGCCGGCCCGAGGAGAGGGGAAGCAGGGGAGGGAGGGGGGGGCGGGGGGAAGCAGGGGAGGGAGAGGGGAAGCAGGGGGGATTCGACCCCCACCCCCTCCGTCACGGGACGGGGGGGGATCGACCCCCCCCCGTCCCTTCCATCCAGGGGGGGGGGCCGGTTCCACCCCCCCCCCTCGCGAGCACGACTGATCGCAACCACATCGGACCGATCGTAAACCACTTCGGTCGGATCGCAACCAATTGCGATCGGTCCGAAATGGTTGCGATGTTTGTGGGTCGTCTCAATACTGTTTTGATTAAGGAAGAGACCATAAGAACGCTTCTTGGTTCAACGAGTTCCCTTGAGTCGACCAATGGGAACTTGAAAAAGCGATTGCGATCGGTCCGATCACAGACGGCCGATCATGATTTCAGCTAAACACATGTATTGGAGCTCGAACGGGCGCCATGATCCGTATACGATTCCTATGTGCTTCCTATACGGTTGAAACAGTTACTGAGCGAAAACGCCTGGCGTGAAACAAATTGCATCTCAGGAGGGGGAAGAGGAGGAGGAGGAGGAGGAGGAGGAGAGGTAGGAGGAGGAGGAGGAGGAGGAGGAGGAGGAGGAGGGGGAGGAGGAAGAGGAGCAGGAGGAGGAAGAGGAGGCGGAGAAGGACGGGGGGAGGAGGAAGGGAGAAAAAGGAGGGGAGGGAGGAAGGACAGGAGCAGGAGGAGCATGAGCAGGAGGAGGAGTGGGGGAGGAAGAGAAGGAGGAGGAGGAGGGGGGGAAACGGAAGAGGACAGGATGGCAGGGCGGATAGACGAGGCGGCCCAAACCCCCAACGTCATGACTTTTCCAGGACGTCGACCCCCAAAAATCTGGACAAATTCCCGTACGGAAGGTTCGTGCGGCGTCGGCACCCGCAAGGGTTTTGGCACCGCGTGGACCGTTCAACCTTGAATCGATCGCGGCCCCGATCGTTCAATGTTCAATTTCGTCGGGTAAAATGGGCCCAGCGTGTCCCTCGGTGCTTCCGCGTCGCAGAATGCAGCCTCGAACGCCTTCGCCAACGTCGCCGGCGCGCCAGCGCCACATGCACCTACAGTAGTCCGGCATTGCATACTGAGTCACTTTTGGGCGGCCCCTGGGCCCGGTGATGGCCCCCCAAGCCCGAAACAAAATCATATGTTCTCACGACGCCAAGCGGTCTGGGCCTGTGGTGGTTGTGGGAAGCATGTCTGGGGGACGTGTGCGACCTGCGCGGCCTGCGAGACATTTTGGCGCCCGTGCGACACGCAGGACCTGTGGGACCTGTTG